GAAACAATCCCGTACAACAAAAGCAGGTATAATTCCTGTGAAGGTCAGTTTTACCTTGAACAAAGACACGCTTCCAGAAGATTCTGCCAACATGTATACCACCAAGGAACACCAGATTAGACAGGATGAGCATAGCAGTCGAGAAGGCAGAGAGGAGGGCGATGCAGCGCCTTTGCATTGCTGTGGAGAGATTCCGCTCCTGGGAAATGAGTAAATAAATAAACAAAACCGAAAGAAATTGTCATTGTCAAGCCCTGAAAGTACACAGACGCAGAAACTAATGCACTACGTGGCCATAAACTAAGAGCATTACACAGTATGCCATCAGTCTTTAGTACTATATTGAGAATGAACAAATCTCTCAAAGGAGAAAGCCAAAGAAACTGTTGTTAACTCCTTGCATTAATGCTAAGCATTTACTGCACATGGCGATTAGAAGTGACCCAATAGGTTTGTCTGCTGTCTGTACTTGGTGGAGCTAATCAGCACACAACCTCTTATTAAATCCGATTACACAACTTACACTACTTATATATCTGGCTACAAGAAAGATAATGATTCCCTCACATCCTAAGTAACTGGGGATTTTTAATCTCCTTGAGCCTGGTGTTTCTGCACTGTTGGAGCTAAATGCTTTAATTTCAAACCTACAATTACGGAGCGAACACGGGATGAGGCAAAGAGAGATGACAGTCCATTTTCCAGCAGAACTCCAGCCCAGTTCATCAGAGCCCAGTATCGTAAGTAGTCATGGCCGCCATGCCAGAAGCAGATGAATCCAAAGGCGAGGCCAGTGGATAGCACTTTGCAAAGAAAGCCGTGTCGTGATCCACCCAATGGGATGTAGATGTACCTAAAACATAAAAGGTATGCAATGCCAGTCAGATAACTCAGAAAATAAGGTGAATAGGACATGTGTAGAGCAAAACACAACCAAAAATGGCCCTACGATGCACCATTGAACTCCAAAAAACACCTGATTGATTTCTTCTTATGAAATACAACATGGCTCTGACATCCACTGCAAGAATAGAAGCACTCTGGGGAATATCAGTGCTGCCAAGTCGTTAACAACAATGCAAAGCAGGGGTAATGAATATGATAATTCACGCCAAAACCTTAATACGTTTTCAGATCTATTGTTCCCTTCTTATTTTTTTCTTCAATTTCAGATGACTCTTTTGATTTTTTTTTTTTTTGGGGGGGGGGGGGGGGCGCCTTGGTTGAGGTTTGTGCAACAAACAGGACACACAGATGTGATGGTGTGATTCTTCATCAAGCATTAAAAATTTACTGCATAATTTGTGCGTGATAGCGCTGTACATGGTCTAAAAATAGCAGCTGTATACTCATGGGATAGCCCTCGCGCTGTGAATAATGTAACAGCAATCACTAACGAACGGCTTCATATACTGTGAGAACCTCGGCTGCCCCTCAGGTACTGCCAGCGCCTGAACATGTTACATCAGTGCAACACACTCAACAAACATCCCATTGTGTGTAGTGCTGCTGAGCTGCAAACTAATTATCTCAGCCTCCCTGTGGCTGATCAATGTTTGTGAAAGATGAGCCAGCATTTTCTGAGCCTTAAATAGAGTAGCCAGCTCGGCCATACTGTAGAATGAAAGTGGGCTCAAAAACAGATGGAGGGTGTCAGAGCCAAAGAAAGCTGAATAGCTGAACATGATGTGCAGCTACTAACAAACTTAATATGTTGAGATATAAAACAACTGTATACAGATAGCTTTAAAAAAAAAAGGAGCATTTTAATAAAGTATACACAAATACCTGAATAATCAGACCTAAAGTAACAACTAATTACTTTTGCGTACAATTACATACTGATAATCTTTGGTGTAGAATAAAATAAACTGATTTATTTTATCAGTGAATTCTGTTGCCCAATCATTAAAAAGGAGCAAAAGTTTCATGAAAAAGCAATTACGCTGTGGTAACTTTCTATATCTGCACTGGGCCAACATGATGTTTTATGGACGATTCTAATTTTTTCACTGGTGCCTTGATTCATTTTAATTGGGTTGGTCAAACAATTTATTCTCTGTGAAGTAGTTTTTAATTGCCCTCCTCCAAAAAGCAGACAATAATGCTTTTGCCTGTGTCTGTGTGCATTTGTCTGAAAAGTTAGCAAAATAAATCATGAACGTAATCCTTGACTGAACAACCGATTAACTTTTGGAGTTAACCACAATTCAGATGGCAAACACAGATAATTTTATAGATTTTGAGCTAAAATTTGATGAGGTAGTTGCTGTGAGTCATGCCAAAAACATACTCCAAGTGCTAACAGATCACAAGAGAGCTTGTCAAATAATTCAATAAAACTGGAAAAGTAACTTAGGAATTAGTGCTGTGTTTTTATTAACTGTGCCAATCTTGCTAATAAATAAATTACTAATAAATTGATGTATTTTTAAATTAAAATAATGTGATTAAGTATAGCAAAAATGTAGTTGCTCCTTCAAAAAGTACAAACCGGATTCCAAAAAAGTTGGGACACTAAACAAATTGTGAATAAAAACTGAATGCAATGATGTGGAGGTGCCAACATCTAATATTTTATTCAGAATAGAACACAAATCACAGATCAAAAGTTTAAACAGAGAATGTATCATTTTAAGGGAAAAATATGTTGTTTCCAAATTTCATGGCGTCAACAAATCCCAAAAAAGTTGGGACAAGTCCATTTTTACCACTGTGTGGCATCCCCCCTTCTTCTTACAACACAACAGACGTCTGGGGACAGAGGAGACCAGTTTCTCAAGTTTAGAAATAGGAATGCTCTCCCATTCATGTCTAATACAGGCCTCTAACTGTTCAATCATCTTGGGCCTTCTTTGTCGCACCTTCCTCTTTATGATGCGTTAAATGTTCTCTAGAGGTGAAAGATCTGGACTGCAGGCTGGCCATTTCAGTACCCGGATCCTTCTCCTACGTAGCCATGATGTTGTGATTGCTGCAGAATGTGGTCTGGCATTATCGTGTTGAAAAATGCAGGGTCTTCCCTGAAAGAGATGATGTCTAGATGGGAGCATATGTTGTTCTAGAACCTGAACATAGTTCTCTGCATTAATGGTGCTTTCCAGACATGCAAGCTGCCCATGCCACAAGCGCTCATGCAACCCCATATCATCAGTGATGCAGGCTTCTGAACGGAGCGTTGATAACAACTTGCGCTATCCTTGTCCTCTCTGGTCCGGATGACATGGCGTCCCAGTGTTCCATAAAGAACTTCAAATCGTGACTCATCTGACCACAGAACAGTCTTCCATTTTGCCACACTCCATTTTAAATGACCCCTGGCCCAGTGCAAACGTCTGAGCTTGTGGAGCTTGCTTAGAAATGGCTTCCTCTTTGCACTGTAGAGTTTCAGCTGGCAACGGCGGATGGCACAGTGGATTGTGTTCACTGACAATGCTTTCTGGAAGTATTCCTGAGCCCATTCTGTTATTTCCTTGACAGTGGCATTCCTGTTTGAGGAGCAGTGACGTTTAAGGGCCCGGAGATCACGAGCATCCAGTAGAGTTTTACGGCCTTGGCCCTTACGCACAGCGATTGTTCCAGATTCTCTGAATCTTTTGATGATGTTATGCACGGTTGATGATGATAACTTAAAAGTCTTTGCTATTTTACGCTGGGTAACACCATTCTGGTATTGCTGCACTATCTTTCTGCGCAACAATGGTGGAATTGTTGATCCTCTTACCATCTTGGCTTCTGAGAGACACTGACACTCTGAGAAGCTCTTTTTATACCCAATCACGATGTCAATTGACCTAATTAGTGTTAATTGGTCTTCCAGCTGTTTGTTATATGCTCAATTTCTTTTTGCCAGCCACTTATTACGTGTCCCAACTTTTTGGGGATTTGTTGACACTGTGAAATTTTGAATCAACATATTTTTCCTTTAAAATGTTACATTTACTCAGATTAAACTTTGGATCTGTCATCTATGTTATATTACAAATAAAATATTGACATTTGCCATCTCCACATCATTGCATTCAGTTTTTATTCACAATTTGTTTAGTGTCCCAACTTTTTTGGAATCCGGTTTGTATACACACACACACACACACACACACACA